TTTCCATCTCTCCCCATCTTCACAACACTTCCCATCCCTCCCCATCTCCACAACCTTTCACGTCTCTCTCTCTCTCTCTGTCTCTCTCTCTCTCTCTCTCTCTCTCTCTCTCTCTCTCTTTCTCGTCAAGTCTTATCTCACCCCATCACACGAAATGTATCCTACCCAAACCCCCTAACCCCAGCAAGGCCCGGGGTGTAATGGGCAACCTTACAAAGCGGCCCCTAAACTGGGTATTCCCGAACTTGTCTATATCTACGGACTTCACAGCTTCCAAGCCCTGGGTGGGAAAAGGTCGTATCTGCAATACAGTAACTTTGTAGAAAGGGTTTTTGCATTCAGACTTGTTAATGACAGCTGCCTGTCCGAGACAGTTTCTTGGCTGTTAGCGTGGACAGTCCGACAGATGCCACTGTGGACACGGGCGTTATGTGGGTGGCTTCACGGCTCATCTAGAGTCTGATCTCAGTGCGGTTGGTCTCAACGCCGATGTAGTAAGTGTTCACGTGAGTGTGTATTGTTTGTTTGTTAGACAGTGTTTTGAGAGGTGTGTTAAGGGGTGTATCTAGGGTAAGGTCATAGACTTATATTAGGCTACAATAACCTAGACTGTCCACTCTGACGAACTTCCCGTTCGCAGTTGGAGAACACCATTTGACTCAATTTGAAACCAATAAAGGGGAAATAAATGGGGATGGGCTAGAAAGAAAGTTCTGCATGCATTCGACGACAGCAACATTTATGATTTGTTCTTCATATAGACGCTCATGGTGAGCACGCTGCGCAGGGAAGTTTATAGGGAGCAAAGAGCTGCGCCTTGGCAGTGTACGGTCTAGATTATAATCCAAGTCTATGAGATTGGTAAGTGCGGTGCGTGATCAAGCATGTCATTAAGAAATGAAGGGGAGCGAGGGGTGGGGGGGGGGGAGATGAAAAAGGGATCGTTTGAAACTGGTGTACTCATCCCCTCTTTTTCGACGATCTTTTTTTAAAGACCACATCACAGGTGTCTCCTTCTATTTAATAAGGTACCAAAAAATAGTGCATTCTATACAAAGAGAGACGCCCTTCTACACAGCAAAAAGTCACCTCTTCAAGGCTAAGCTGGAGCCACCTCCTCAAGCCTTATTTATCTCAACTCATCCTCCACCCCATTGATCCCCCCTCCCCCCGTGGACAAAGAGGCGTCTTACTACTGCTTGTCCAATATGTAAAGAGTTTTAAGGGTTAACTCTACAAAAACAAGAATGTGATGTATTTGGTCATGGGAAACAACAAACTTCGGAGCAATTAATTTCCGAAGGTTCGCCCCTGGGAGAATAATAACTAACCGTGAAGCTGGTTTCGTTGAAATGTGTTTTCTCACGCTGAAAGAAACCTTTCGATCCAAATGATGACAGAAGACAGAAAAGTTAGGCAAACGTACTTTTACACCATATTGTGACGCCTGATTTTGAAGAGGACCTTAACAATAAATTATAGTTAAAGAAAAAATAAACTATGAAGTTGGTGATGTGGTTGTGTACATGTTTGACAACTCAACACGGAAGTAGTTAGATCTCGACACTGCCAAGCTATTTCGCCAAAATTTGGAACTGAAGTTTAGAGGGTAGAAAAATAAGTGTATTAACTACTTCACTGCTAGATCCGAGTATTGAGTTATAGAGCGCATTCCTGCCTTCCATAAATCCCAGTTTTAAGGTATAAAAATTCATTGAAGCTTACTTTGTTGTTTGAAGTACAATCGTCAACTTTATCGACCTCACAATGTAAACGACAGTGAACAGATCTCGCGGAGACCTCTGCATTTACAAATACTGCTCTCCCCTTAACAATTTCAATTTTTTTTAAAATTACCTCTGCGTCTCGAACTTTGAGGATAAGGTGAAGAAAAACTATCACCTGGCTTTAGCTAGAGATGTAAAAAAAACCATCTAGATATTATGCAGAAATGAAACCAGTTAGTGAAAAGCTAACCAGCATGTTTACATTATTGCTTGGATTGTAATCTGTCAACAAGTGCCTATGATTCTGTCGCAAAGTATAATCTATTGGAATTAATCTCATGTGATTAGACATGACGTATGCACATTTTAAAAACCCATAAAATTTACATTTATTCATTTTTAATGTTACAATATAAAATTAAATAAATGTGAATTCCTGCAACTGCAGGCCTTATAGTGTGCTTTGGGGGAACAGCAATGGTAGTACCACAAACAATGGAGTTATAACCGAGGCGTCTGTACAGCTAACTGTTGGCAATGTGGGGAGTTAGTGTTGGCATGGAGGGCTAAAGGGATGTAAAAGGATAATGAGGTCATGGGAATGGGATAGTGAAGTCGGGGACAGGAAAGAGGATAATGGGGATGGGAGTTGGGGGGGGGGGGGTTGGGAAGGGTATGGAAGTTGGGGGAAAGAGGAAGGGGTAACGCAAACTTGGAGAAGAATGTAAAGAGTGTATTTAAGAGGTATATATAATTATCTCCCCCCCCCCCTGCCGGCGCCCTTCAACAGACACAAAAGTTAATCAAACCATATAGAATCATGTGGTTTTACACTTTTAGAACTAGTAATAAAAATGTAACAATAGCATTCGCTTCTACGTTTACTCCAAAGAGAGAGCCAGACAGTGATGGGGTTAAAACTGGTTATAATATAATATACTTTTTCAAAGATTGAATCGCTTGTCGCGGTTATACACTAATTTGACCGACGACCTTGGTGTAGCAGTTTGGCGCTCCGCCGTAGCAAACCGAAGGTTTTAAGGGGGGGGGGTAGTTAGTGTTTTACAGTGCTTGCAACTGC